CCTCCTCTCCCTCCTCCTCCTCCTCTTCCTCCTCCTCCTCCTCCTCCTCCTCCTCCTCCTCCTCTCCTTCCTCCTCATCCTCCTCCTCCTCCTCCTGCTTCTGGCCCTCCTCCCTCCCCTCCCTCTCTTACATGTCGCAGTAGTTCTTCCCCCCCTCGTGGGACGGGACCCGCGCCGAGCTCAGTGTCCTCACCGGGCTTCCTCGCCTCCCTGACTCGCCATGGCGGCAGCAGGACTGGACTACCCTCCAGCTCTGGGGCGGGCCCCGCACTCGAAGCCTATTTGCCCTCTCCCTCGCCACCCTCCTCCTCTCCGCTCCGAAAACCTTCCCCCGGTGGCGAGCACTCCTTGCCCGGCGTGTCTTCTACGTCGAACATGAGCTCCCGGTGGCGCGCGTGTTCCGGGAGGGCGGATGGATCTCCACTGAGTTCTAGCGTGCGCCCCCCATTTGTGCGCACGTACGAGGCCGCTCTCGCGGGATTCCCTGTCAAGAGGCGCACAGCCGCCAGCGTTGCCCTGGCCGTGCAGAGCGCGCGGCAGGCGATGAGGGACACCCCCAGGGTCCGTCTTCAGTCTCGCCTGCACCGCGCCCTCGCCTCCTCGCTCTTCCCCGACGATTTCGCCTCGCTCCTTTCCGCCCGCTCCCGAAGATGGTGCGCCTCGCCTGGAGAACTGCCGCCCGATTTTGTCTTCCTCGTGGAGGCTATCGGAGCTCAGCTCCTCAAGGTCCCTGTCTCGTGGGTTTTCGCATGTCTCTGCACGTGGTGCGGTAACTGGACAACAGAACACAGGGTGCAGCAAGAATCGCACACGTGCGTCTTCGGGTGCAGCGCATGGGATGACCTACGGCATTACCACACATGCGCACACTTTAACACGTGCTGGTCTTTGACCATGGGGGGACCCCTACCAGAGCGCACAGCTGCCAAGTTCGCTCTGTCAGACCCCTCCCCCACGGGCATCAGGAGAGTGGTCGCAGCTTCTCCTATCCACAGGACTGCTCGCGTTGGCCCCAGGCGCCCGCCCTCCGCAGCCCGCCTCCGGGAAATCTCTGGAGCGGTGCGGGCCGCCGCCGAGCTCCCCCTGAAGTGCTCCTGGGAGGCTCAGTTTGCGAGCTCGGCTGTAAACGTCTGTGCGTCTCGCCCTCTTGTCCGACATCATGTCAGATCATGCCCCAGAGTTCTTTTAATAGTTTTAACGCCGTTGTGTTTGTGAAGTAGAGCAGCGCATGGTGCGATCTGGTTTCGGGCTTGAGCCGGCAGTTTTGATTATCTTGGTTCTGGTTGTGTGAATGGGGTTGCAGGGTGCCCCTTCAAAGCCTGTTTGTCACAGTCAGGATTACTTGGTTGTTTGGCCCGGCTGGTGGCGTAAGTGGCAATCGGGTCACGGCCTCTGCAGAAAAAGGGCCCCAGGGCCACCCAGTCGGAGCCGACAGTGACAGAAACACAGTATGTAACGCTTCGTCCTACTCCTCCTCCACTCGTTTTCCTCATAGGTAACTCCTCCCTGTCGCTCCCCGAGGCCAGTCAAATAAACGAGCCGGGCGTTTCGTTTGAGACTTCTTCTCCATGTATGACCCTGATGCTTAAACATTGGCAATAATTTCACAGATGGATGGCGTGTGGTTTTCAACATGTGGCTCTCGCCTAGGCTCCTCGCACATTCGTTTCAAATAATTGCAACTGGTCACGGATTGACGGCGGGCGGTTTTCAACATGTGGTTCGCGCCCAGTGCCGCGCACAGCCGTTCTAAACAATTGCAAGATGTTCACGGATTGAGGGCGGGTGGTTTTCAAAATGTGGTTCTCGCTTGAGCGTATCGCACATTAGATTTAAATATTTGCAAGAGGTTCACGGATTGGGCGGTGTCTTTCCAAATGCTGTTCTCGCCTTAGCGCCGCGCTTATTCGTTCTAAACATGTGCAAGGGTTTCATTGTCTCTCACGGTTAACGTACCAGAAACTTTGTTTTGGAACGATTCCGGACGCAACGTTTACGTTGCTTCGCGGCGTTGAAGTCCCAGTAATGGTGTTCGGGCACGTGGCGTTGAAAGTCATGAGAATGGTGTTTGGCACGCTTCAGGATGTTCACACGGTTGTCCCCCAACGAGGCACTTCCTTCAGGGGGCATGACCCGCCTCTTGCTTCCTTCTGTTTTCTATTTGTTCTTCTTTCTTTTTTTCGTCTTTTCTCTTTTTCTTATTTTACTTGGTTCCTTGTATGGTGCACATATGAAGAGGACTGGATAGGGAGCGCTTGTATTTCAAACATCGTTGATGAGTCTTGGTTTAAACTTGTCCTCCTCCTCCTCCTCCTCCTTGGCCCATATCTCCTGGGCCTTCTGATCGCGTGGGCGCGCCCCTCCTGTCCAGCGCCGCCCGATGGGCGTCGAAGTGGATGGGGTGCGGAAAGCGTCGCGCCGCATCGCCGATGCATCGACGGGCGGTTCGATGTGGAGCCCGATTTTCTACACGATGACGTCGACTGTGCATCGGCGATGCGGCGCGATCCACCGACCCCATCTACTTCGACCCCATCTGGGCGGCTCCCCACGTGGCGGCAATGACCGCCCCCGCCGCCGGCCCGCGCGCCGGGCGAGCGCTCTTGTCCGCGGTGCTGCTGCTGCTGACCCTGGCCATCGCTGAGGACCCGGAGCAGAGGAAGAGAGGGAGCAGGAGGAGGATGGCCGGGTAGGTGGGGTGGACGGGGAGGACGAGGAAGAGGAGGAGGAGGATGAGGAGGATGAGGAGGAGGAGGAGGAAGAGGGTGTTGGGGTCCACAGTGCTTGCAACGGCATTACCGCAAATCAGGCAGCAGATGAGTGCGCAGGGAATGGAGCCCGTTGTGCCAGGCTCCCCCAGCATGTCCATCCAGCAAGTGTGCGATACTGATAACACGGCAGTTCGTGTGCAGAGGCTCCTCGTAGTAGTAGCCCCTCGAGTGGCAATTCAGACCCAACACATTTACTCGGCCATTTCCCAAGCTGATCGCGTGGCTCGCAGTCGTCCTTCCAGGACCCAGCGTGTAGCGAGCCTTGAGCAAGTGCTACAAGAGAGCCCACGCAGCGTGGTCGAGAAGTGGTGGTATAAGTTTTGTACAGTCTGTCGAGGGCGCCTTACCTAGGGGTTGGGAACGCTAGATTGGCTTGTCTCGCAGTGCCTGGGTAAACCCCACGAGTCATGAGGCGTCCTGTACTCTTAAACTCTCGTGGTGTCGGAAGTGTGGGACTTGTGGTAGTGCAAAGATAAGCAAGGGTCTGCAGCTGCAGAGCCTCTGCCACCACCACCACCACCACCACCCCACTGGCTGGGGTAAGAAGGTGCTGGCCAAACTGTTGGATGGCCGCCTTCCCCCGTGTCTGAATGCCTGGCCAGACGAGCTGGGCAAGGGGCAGGAAGCAGAAGAGTAGTTCTGCAGCACGCAAGTCTTCCCGCCATTTCATGTTCGGATCTTGGGACTCGGAGTGCGCGCCAGGAGGAGGAGGAGGAGGAGGAGCAGGAGGAGGAGGAGGAGGAGGGGGATGGGGAGGAGGATGAGGATCAGTGGAAACCCAAGAGTTATCAACGATTTTGGGTTGAACACCGGCGTCGCGGCCGGCCGAGACAACAATGGACATCAGAGGTGTACAAACTGTGCCGACAGATCTGAGCACCCCTCTGCTACATAGTCTGGTCGTCTTTGTCTTCTCTCCTCCGCCTCTTTTTTTCCCACCGCGAATCTGCGTTGCAGTGTGAGAATTTCTCCGCGGTCTGAAACGGTTGTCGTGCCAACGCGTCTTGCTGGATGTACGGCTTGTATGTGTATGTGTGTGTGTGTGTCCAAGCCCCTCCTTCATAGGCCCTTACAGCGGTTCATTTCCATTGAAGGAGCTGCCTCGCTGGAAGACAACAGTTTGAAGATCCTGAAGCGTGCCAACAAATTGTTCTCGGGATTTCAACGCCACGTATCAACCTGACTGCTGCATCTTGACGATCCAGAAACGTGCCAGAACGCCGTTTCTGAGACTTCAACACAGCGAATCAACATAACTGCTGCGCCCGCATAATCCTGAATCCTTCCAAACACCATTTCTGGTACGCTGACCATGGGAATCCGTGAAACTCTTGTATTTTGTTGTTTTGCTATGTATGTATGTATATATATAATGAATGTACGCGGCGCTCAGGCGAGAGCCACATTTTGAAAAGAACCGCCCTCAACCTGTGAAGCTCTTGCAAATGTTTAAGACGAATGTGCGCGGCGCTAAGGCGAGAGCCACATTCATTTTGACAACCACCCGCCCTCAATCCGGGAAGCTCTTTCAAAATTTCTAAAACGAATGTGCGCGGCGCTAAGGCGAGAGCCACATTTTGAAAACGACCCGCTTTTCATCCGTGAAGCTCTTGTATCTTTTATTGAAAAAGAATGTGCGCGGCGCTAAGGCGAGAGTTACATTTTGAAAATGGCCCGCCTTCCTATGAAACTCTTGCACATGTCTAAAACGAATGTGCGCGGCACTAAGGCGAGAGCCACATTTTGACAACCACCCGAAACTCTTGCAAATTTCTAAAACGAATGTGTGCGGCGCTGAGGCGAGAGCCACATTTTGAAAACCACCCGCCCTCCATCTGTGCAGCTGTTGCCATTTTTTAAGCTTCAGGGTCATAAATGGTGGGGAGGTCTCCGGCCCTCCCTAAAACTGGCCTCGGGGTACGACAGGGAGAAGTGATTTATGAGGACAAGGAATAGAGGACGAGGAGGAGGAGGAGGAGTGAGAGGAGGAGGAGGAGGAGGAGGAGGGGGAGGAGGAGGAGAAGGAGGAGGAGGAGGAGGGAGAGGGGGAGGGAGGGAGGAGGAGGAGGAGGATTGCAGAGTAGTGCTGATGCCCTCAAGGGTAGGCATAACCCTTTTGAATCGGATGGGGCACTTGGGCTCTCCCACCCTTGAAATAGGTGCTCGATGCTGGCGCCTGGTCATGGTAGGTGATGATTGCGTGTAGCGCAGATGCTGTGGCAGCCACCTCTGCCTCGTAGCGCCGTGACCAGGGGGTCAACACATGTTGGTCCGACGTCCCATCATGAGGGGGCGACGAATGATGGACCCAAGCATGATGTGTGACAGCAATGTGTGTAAATGTGAGCCCCATGTTTTGTCAACACTGGTGCCGACATAATGCACCAAACCGAATTCAAGCCCCAATGGCGCTGCCAGCGGGGACACGGTTTGTCCTCCCCACGGGGGGGCAAACATAGTTCGGTCTTCAAGTGACCGGAAAACGTTTCCCGCATTTCGGTCCTCATGGGATGCCGGCGGAGCTGCTCTTTCATATCTTTGTTTCTTTTGCCTATTTCTCGCTCTCTTTTTTTTTTTTTTTGCTTTTTTTTCACTTTTTGCTTTGCATTTCTTGTTAATGTTTTCCTGTTTTTTACTCTTGTTTGTGCGGAATGATGTCGAGGCATAGGTGGGCCGCCCCGTTTACTTCTTTTCTTATTTTTTCTTCTTGCTTTTTCTTTCCCATTTTCTTACATTTCTTTTTCCTTTCCTTTTCTTTTTCTTTTTCTTCTTTTACCCAAAGTCTTCTCCCAAGGGTGACACCGGCGGGCCAGTGTTGAGGAGCCCTGTGGCGACCTAAGTGGTCGCCTCATGGGTCCCTGGATAGGGGCCTGGGAGAGTGGACAAACCCAGCTATGACCCCGTACGAGTCCAGGGCAGCCCCACTCCCGAGGTCAACGGCCACGCGGCCGAGACGAGGTTCCGACGTTGGCGCCTGGCACTGGTGCATGACACGCGTGTAGCGCATATCCTGTGGCAGCCAGTTGTGCCCCGTAGCCCCGTGGCCGGGAGGTCAACGCTTGTGGGGTCAGCGCTTATGAGGCAAACGTCCGAGCGACAGATGCTCAACGCGGTACGCCTGGCCCCCCAGTGCGCAACCCCGCGATGCGGACGGGGGCGCTGAGCTGACAAGAGGTGTAGACCCCCCCGAGGAAAAAGGCACCGATTGAGGATTGCAAACGCAGGGCCGTACCCCGCCCACTCCATACCCCCGAGGCGCGATAAGACGGGGAAGAGGTACGAATGTGGTGCCAAGGGCAGCATGCATGGGTTAAGAATCCCCACCCCCCTGGCACACCGAGGCCGCGACACAGAACTTGCCCTGGAGACGGGGCTTGCCAAATCCTGCCCTTGGGACTGGAAATGAGCCCGGGGTTCTGGCTCGAATCGAGCAGTCTTGTTACTACATATGGCCCTGCGTACCCAAATATGAGTCTGGAAATACGGCTCGAATCGAGCACCCCCCGTTCTACGGATAGGCCAGTACACCCAAAAAGTGGGGGCCCTGGGATTCCAGCTCGAATTTGTCCCGTGACCCCCGCGTGCCAACACCTCAGTCGCGAACATAGTTTGGACTTGCGTCAGCAGTCTGGTCACCCGCCGTCGAGAGGGGCCCCGAGCGAGCGCCAAGAGGCCCCCCACTGACCCCAAGGTGACTTCAAGAGGGCCCCGAAAAGATATTCAGATGGCCATGGCCATCTCAACATCTGAACGGGGGGCACCTTGGAGTCCGCCCCTGGCCCAAGATAAGCCCCGAACGAGCACCGAAAGGTCCCCCCAGGGGCATCACGAAGCCCTCAAAGAGAGCCCCGACAAGATTCCCAGATGGCCACCGCCATCTGAAAGTCTGTTCGGGGACCTCCCGGAGCCCGTTCGGGGTCCAAGACCTTCCAGCCAAAGAGCGTCGGAACCGGGCAGATGCGAAGTGCGGGACGGCCGGCCTCGTCGCCTGGCTGTGCCCTCTTGAGGCAACAGCCTCGCGACGAAGGCAAAGCCGCAGCATCTGCGGATGCACGATATCCAGGGTTGCCGCCAGGCAGTGTCCAAATGGAGATCACCCTTGGCAATTAGCGCTTCCACGCGAGAGTGTGCAGGACCGCCGGCCCTGCCGCCGGGCGACGTCCTTGAGGCATTTGCCTCGCGACGGGGGCAAGCGGGCAGGATTTGCTGATGCACGCAAACTGGCACTGCCGCCTGGCAGCGCCCAATGGAGACGACGCTGAGTACCAGGCCATTGTGATCGTGCAGGGCCGCTGGCCTTGCCTCCGGGCGTGAGGACCATGAGAACACGCAGGACCGCCAGCCTTGCCGCCGGGCAATGTCTTTGAGGCAACAGCCTCGCGACGGATGTGGGCGCGCATGACCTGCGGACGCACGATGGTTGGCATTGCGCCAGCCTGCTTCCAAAAGGAGCGAACCTTGGAAGCGGTTCGGCGTGGGATGATTCAGGACCGACTGACTTCTCGCCAGGCTGCGTTCTTGGATGCACGGTATTTGGCACTGGTGCCAGCCAGTGTCCAAAAGAAACAACCTTGGTCATCGGCGCCACGTTACAAATGTGCAGGACCGCCGGGTCCTTGAGGCAAGAGCCTGACGACGGGGGGTGGCGCGCATAGTCTGTGGGTGCACGATGGCACTGCCGCCAGCCAGCGTCTCAAAGAGGACTGACCTTGGTAAGGGTCCGACGCGAGGGCGTGCAAGACCGCTGGCCTTGCCGACGGGCGACGTCCTTGAGGCACCTGCCTCGCGACGGGAGCAGGCGCGCAGCCTCGGCAGATGCACGCAGACTGGCGCCGCCGCCGGGCAGTGCCCGCAGGGAGCGAAGTGCATGGGCCAGGCAGAGGTGAGTGCGCAGGACCGCTGGCCTTGCCGCCGGGCAGTGTCCTTGAGGCAACAGCCTCGCGACGGGGGTAATTGGGCGTGCGTAGTCTGGGGGCGCACGATGTTTGGCGCTGCCGCCGGCCAGCGTCTCAAAGAGGACGACCCTCGGCAACGGTCCGACGTGAGAGCGTGCAGGGCCGCCGGCCTTGCCGCCAGGCAGCGTCCTTTTGGCGTCTGCCTCGCGACGGAGGCAGGCGTGCCGACGTAGCAAATGCACACAAACTGGCTTTGCCGCCAGGCAGCGCCTCCAGGGAACGAGGTGCGAGAACTAGGTGGAAGTGATTGTGCAGGAGCGCCAGCCTTGCCGCCGGGCTGTGTCCTTGTGGCGATTGCTTCGCGACGAAGGCAAACGCGCAGAATCTGAGTGTGAGGGCAAAAAGTCCTACGCCACTGTCGCCTGGCCATTCATTGGATAAGGGGCTACCCGGGGGTGCTGCTCGAGATGAAGGAACTCGTAGTGGCGCCCCGAGCGCCCCCCTTACCCAGTATCGAATGGCGCCGGCACGGGGAGGAGGAGGGGTTGGAGGAGGAGAAGGAGGAGGAGGAGGCGAAACATGAGGAGAAGCAGGAGGAGAAGCAGGAGGAGACAAAGGGGGAGGAGGAGGAGGACGAGGAGGAGGAGGAGGAGAAGGGGCGGGGTGAAGGAGGAGGAGGAGGAAAAGCAGGCGGAGAAACAGGGAGGAGGAAGAAGGAGGAGGAAGAGGGGGAGGAGGAGGAGGAGGAGAGGAGGAGGAGGAGGAGGAGGAGACGGGAGGTAGGGGCAGGATGAGGAGGAAGGAGGAGAAGGAGGAGGAGGAGGAGAAGGAGCGAAAAAAGGATTGAGGAGGAGGGAGAAGAGGAGGAGGAAGAGAAGGAAGAGGAGGAGGAGGAGGAGGAGGAGGAAAAGGAGAAGCAGGAGAGGAGCAGGAGGCGAGAGCAGGAGGAGGACCAAAAGAGGGGAGGAGGAGGAGTGAGGAGGAGGAGGAGGGAGGAGGAGGAGGAGGAGGAGGAGGAGGAGGCGGAGGAGGAGGAGGCGGCGGCGGAGCAGAAGGGAAGAGGAGGAGGAGGAGGGAGGAGCGAGGAGGAGGAGTGAGTGAGGAGGAGGAGGAGTGAGAGGCAGGAGGAGGAGGAGGAGGAAGAGGAGGGGGGGTGGGGGGGAGGGGGAGGAGGAGGGCAGGAGGAGGAGGAGGAGGAGGAGGAGGAGGAAGGAGGAGGAGGAGGGAGGAGAGGAGGAGGGAGGAGGAGGAGTAGGAGGAGGAAGAATGGAGAGGAGGAGAGAGGAGGACGTCGATTGCGGAAAAGGAGGAGGAGGAGGAGGACGCGGGGGACGAGGAGGAGGAGGAGGAGGAGGAGGAGGAGGAGCAGGACAGGTGGAGGGGGACGGATGAGGCGGAGGAGAAGGGACATGTTTTCGCTGTTCGGGCTCAAGGGCCATCAGAAGTCAGTCCATGGTGAAAACCTAGGAGCGGTCCAGTGACCAGTTTTGGGGGATTTTTGCTTAGAGCAGGAGGAAGGGAGGGCAGGGGGGATGACGAGCAGGACGGCGACGAGGAGGTGAGGGTGAGGAGGAGGAGGAGGAGGAGGAGGAGGAGGAGGAGGAGGAGGAGGAGGAGGAGGAGGAGGGGGGGCAAAGGAGGAGGGGACGAGGAGGAGTAGGAGGGGCAGGAAGAGGAGAGTGAGGAGGACTAGAGCTGGATTAGAGCTGGTCTCACGGTGAGCAAAGCCCCACGGATTTTCTACCGCGGGTTTCCTGGCCGCTTCGGGCCGTCCCCGAGCCGAAACCAGGAAACTTGAAACTGCCCACGAGGGCCTACCTTCAAATTGGCTTGTTCGTGGTGGGGTGTTTACCGTCCCACAAATGCTTAAACCTACCCCTGGTCACCCTTTGGGACCCAGGTTGACATTGGGAGAGCAGGCCCGTCCACCTGTCGCGGGCGTACCTGGCATACGACAAAACACAAAACTTGGCTGGAACACCAACTGATGCCCAGCACTCCTCGCTTTATCGACCCTAACTTCCCCCCAGTCCAGAGCGGCCCGGGAGAGGGGGGGTGCCGTCGAGTGCGGGGGGAGGCAATCTTGGGTGACGATGCTCCCCGAGGTTGCCCCCCGAGGGGGCTCCAGGGCCCCCTCCTCCACGCCTCCATCCCAGGAGTCCCAAGGGCGTCCAGGACGTCGGGGGCGGGGGGGTTCGAGTCCATGGCCAGACTCGAGCTCAGTTCAGTGTCGACAATATCTCTGCTGAGCACTCCCACATGGGCCCCGAATTCGAGAATGTCGCTGACGAGTTTGCATTTAGTAACGCACGCATCTCTACACCAAGACGGATGGGTATGGTACATGGCCCCCTGTTTCGCGAGAGTGAGGAGGAGGAGGAGGAGGAGGAGGAGGAGGAGGAGGAAGAGGAGGAAGAAGAAGAAGGAGGAGGATGAGGGGGGAGGAGGAGAAGGATGAGGAGGAGGAGAAGCAAGAGGAGGAGGAGGAGGAGGAGGAGGAGGAGGAGGAGGAGGAGGAGCAGGAGGAGCAGGAGGAGCGAATGGCCGCCGAGGACTCGGACGCGACGTGCAAGGCCGGAGAGCCCGGGTGCGGCGCTGGGGAGGCCGCCGAGGCCCCCGAGGGGGAGGAGAACCCGTGCCCGCCCATGCCGGAGGAGCGGGCCCTCCTTCCTCTTGGGCGTTGCGCAATGGGGGGGTCATAAATGGGGGGTTGGTGAGGGTGGTCCGAAAAGGTACCCAAACGGAGCCTAAACGGGCCCCCTGGGGGTCCAGAGGGGCCCGAAAGGGGCACGAAAGGGGACCTTTTCTGACCCCCCCATTTGTGACCCCCCCATGAAGCCACGCCCAATCCTCGTCCTCGACTCGGCTGCACGTGATCCCTGATCGCAGGGGCAGGAGCCCGTTCGGAAAACCTCCCGGCGATCACGGGCGTGACTGGCCCCGCCCCCCCCCCTCCCTCACGTCACGGCGGTCGTCCGGTGCCGACCGCGGACGTCCTGTGGCGCTCGCAGGCTACTGTGGTGTTCAGAGGCACGCTGTGGTATTCGCGAGGGGAAGTGGTTGCGTGCGTGCCGCGTAGTGCTCTCAGGGACGCAGTGTTGTTTTGTTTCTGAGAGGCACTGGTGCGTCGGTCGTAGGGCGGCGCTCGTAGCTGCCAGCGATGTGGTGTATACAGGCACTGGAGCTCCTCCTCCTCCTCCTCCTCTTCGTCCGGCCTTTCTGATTAGAGTTTATTTGTATCCGGTATCGATTCGTTGATTTTTTGGCCTCCGAGCGCCCGGGGCCCCTCCAGGAGCCTTCTTAAGGCCTGGAACGGAACGATTAGAGCTCCTTTTGTATTCGGTATCGATTCGCTGATTTTTTGCCTCCGGGCGCCCTGGGCCCTTCCTGGGACTTTGCGAAATCCGCCGCAAAAAGACTCCGATTGAAATCCTCCACGGAAGGATCTCCATTGATATCCTCCGCAGAAGGATTCCTATTGAAATCCTCGCAGGGGGAGGAGGGGGAAGAAATGGAGGAGGAGGAGGAGGAGGAGGATAGGTGGGGGAGGAGCAGGAGGAGGAGGAGGAGGAGGAGGAGGAGGAGGAGGAGGAAGAGGAAGAGGACGAGGAGGACGAGGAGGGGGAGCATGGAACGCAACGATGATTGTTTATTTGTAAACGGTATCGATTCGTTGTCTTTCTCGCCTCAGGGCGCCCCTGGTGCCTCCGGGGGCCCAGAACGGAAAGATTGGAGTTTATTTGTATCCGGTATCGATTCGTTGACTTTTTGGCCTCCAGGCGCTCTGGGCCCCTCCTGGGGCCTTCCTGGGGCTTGTAACGGAACGACTAGTAGTAGTAGTAGTAGTAGTAGTAGTAGTAGTAGTAGTTGTTGTTGTAGTTGTAGTTGTAGTTGTAGTAGTAGTAGTAGTAGTAGTAGTAGTAGTAGTAGTAGTAGTAGTAGTAGTAGTAGTAGTAGTACTAGTAGTAGTAGTCGTAGTAGTAGTAGTAGTAGTTTAGTAGTTAGTGTAGTTGTAGTAGTAGTAGTAGTACTAGTACAAATGTAGTAGTAGTAGTAGTATTTTTGTAGTAGTAGTACTTGTACTAGTATTTGTTAAGTAGTAGTAGTAGTAGTAGTAGTCGTAGTAGCCATTTTTTAAAAAAAACAAAAAAAAAAAAATAAAAATAAAAATTTAAACTAGTAGTATGTGTAGTAGTGGGAGTAAGTTTGTTACTGCTTAGTAATAATAGTAGTGTAGTAGTAGTTTAGTACTAGTACGAGTACTAGTACTAGTACTAGTACTAGTATAGTTGTTTAGTGACTAGTACTAAGTGTAGTAAGTAGTAGTTGTAGTAGTAGTAGTGTGTAGGTTCGTAGTCGTTAGTAGATAGTTGTAGTCGTAGTCGTAGGTCGTGTAGTAGTCGTAGTAGTCGTAGTGGTCGTCGTCTTTTATTAGTAGTTTGTTGTAGTAGTTGTAGTAGTCGTGTAGTTCGTAGGTCGTAGTCGTAGTGCGTAGCGTTAGTCGTCGTCGGTATTTAGGTAGTAGTAAGTAGTAGTAGTAGTAGTAGTAGTAGTAGTAGTAGTAGTAGTAGCAGTAGCAGTAGTAGTAGTAGTAGTAGTTGTAGTAGTAGTAGTAGTAGTAGTAGTCGTAGTAATAGCAGTAGTAGTAGTAGTAGTAGTAGTAGTAGTAGTAGTAGTAGTAGTTGTAGTGGTAGTGGTAGTGGTAGTAGTCGTAGTAGTGGTACTGGTGGTGCTGGTGGTACTGGTGGTACTAGTGGTACTGGTGGTAGTGGTACTGGTAGTGGTAGTGGTAGTGGTAGTGGTAGTGGTAGTGGTACTACCAGTGGTGGTGGTGGTCCAGGGCGTGAGGTGGTGGTACCCGCCACGTGACCTCCTCCAGGGCGCCCCCCCGGGGTCCTCCTTCTGATCCGCCTCCTCGTCCTTCCCCCCCTCCTCCTGCTGGCCTGGAGCCCATTCGTATATTCGGGCCGGTCACGGGCGTGATGGGGGAGGGGGGGAGGGGGGACGCCCCGCCGATCACGTCACGGCGGGGGTGCGCCTGGGGCGTGCCGCAACACTACTATCAGTGCTACTACTACTACTACTACTACTACTAGCACTAGTACTAGTACTACTACTACTTCTCCTCCTCCTCCTCCTCCT